TCATTGCTTCGATCTTTCCATAGTTGTTTGGTAGTTGGATAGAGTTATGTGGGTATTAGTTATGCAAGTATTACTTATGTAGGGTTTAGTTATGCATGTATTACTTATGCGGGTATTAGTTATGCAGGTATTAGTCAAGCAAGTAGTCTGGACATGAATTTTTGAAATAAAACCAAGACTATAAATTGATTTGCCGTCTACTTTGCCCTTTTCATAACCATCCCATATCCTCCCTGAATGACTCTCATAGACCATTTAGGTCTACCTGTTCAGAAAATAAGAGATTCTCCATAAAGCCCCAATATTTCGATCAAGGCAGTTGCCGAACCATACTACATAGTTCTGGCAACAACAAAAGCTTAAAAAATTAGCACCTTACCCCCATCATCACATCAAAACTTGGTAGAGTTCATAACAGTAAAACTGGTCTGGTATGGTGTGAAGTTTTGTCCAAATGTAAACAGAATGATGTCCAAAACTAGCTAACATTTTTGTCTGACAATCATGGCTTTGTTGTTTTATCAACAAAAATATGACAAGGAAAACTCTCCCTCAACAAAGTTCCAGTAGATAACAACTATTTGGCTACAACTAAGATTATTCAGCAGATGTGTAATGACCTATTCCGTCATTATAATTGTTTAGGGCTATAGTACCCTTGTGTAGATCTCCATGGGTCAAGAGTCGGTAGAAATCTGGAAATTGAAAATCGAGTATGAAAATCTGCTAGTGTTTCACTATAGCGGACACTTTCTTTGTAATAGTAGATCACTATTTCAACCTCATTAACTTCCGTTGAGCAATTCATATGCTCAAAGAATCAATTTTATGGGAGTTTCTAGGTAGGCTAGGTTCATAATTCTATACTAGAAAGACAAAATTTAACGGACTAGAATTGAAAATAATTCATAATTAATTTGCCCCACATGTTGTGCCATCAAAATAATAACCCTAGGTTTCAATGGATAAAATCCTATGGATATTCTTTTCAGTTCTGGGAGGAAACCGAATTATAGAAGAAATGAATGAACGGAAAGCACTTACCTCAAGAGAGAAGAACCCCAAGTCTTGGAAAAATCTCCTCTAGGGTTCTCTGGTCAAATATTTTACATTATGACTAAGTACGGACAAAAACTAACATAAAAACATGAGTTATTGTTTTCCGACCTTCTCTATAGCGAAACTTCACAACTTCGTTATGATCATGCATACTTCCTATTTGATAAAATCATCTTTAAATAATTGATTAAACCTTCTAAAATGGTAAAATTATGTGAGTTTGAAAACTCAAGGCCTTCGTTTGAGAAAGAAGATGATTAATGTGTAGTCATATTTCGAGAATGAATGTTCCTAAGGGGGAAAGGATGTAAATCCCAGATGTTTAAGATTGTCCGTCGTCTCATGTTGAGAACTTACGAGTAATGAGTCTAAATATGAGAGTTTTGTTATAACACCACTTTTGGTTCAATATCTGATTTAAATTGAAATTTTGATAGCAATATATGTTTAATTTCTTCCTAAAATGCCTAAAAATTTATGAAAATTCTTTAGTTCCATTTGAAATTTCTAACTTCTAAACCTCATATATGATTGGACATGCAGACCGTTCCCGTTTCACATGTACAGTCTGTATATATGTCATACCTCAACGATCTAAATTTGATATTTTAATTTTTTTTTTAATTTCAACCTTTTTGCACTCTTTGTACACGATAAGAAATTAACTTTTACATATTCACATTTGCTTTAACATAGCTCGAGTCAAAGCAATGAAATTTAATGACTCAAATTTAATCCAAATTTTTGATGTGTTACAGTTAACCTTGATAAGCCATACCAATTATTGGGCAAAAATATTTGATGTTTGGCTTTCGTAAGATCACAATTCAGATAAAAGTATGAAGTTTTGTCCAAATGAAAATAATGAAAACAGAATGATGTCCAAAACTAGCTAACATTTTGTCCGACACTCATGACTTTATTGTTTTATTGACAAAATATGACAATTTGCATAAAACAACATACTCATTATCCTCAATACAGAAAACTCCCCCTCAACAAAGTTTCAGTAGATAACAACTATTTGACTACAATTAAGATTATTCAGCAAATATGTAACGACTTGTTCCATCGTTATGATTGTTTAGGGTGATAGTACCCTTGTGTAGATCTCAGTGGGTTAAGAGTTGGTAGAAATCTTGAAATGGAAAATCGAGTGTGAAATTCAACTAGTGCTTCACTATAGTGAACACTTTCTTTAAATAGCGAGATTGCTATAACGAAGGAATGCTACATAGAGAAGGTAGCGAAGTTTCGCTATAGTGAAGGTCGGGAAACAGTAACTCGTGTTTTTAAGTTAGTTTTCATTCAAACTTAGTCATAACATAATTTTTTTACCAGAGAACCCTAGAGGAGATTTTTCTAAGACTTGGTGATTTTCTCTCTTGAGGTAAGTGTTTTTTGTTCATTCATTTTTTCCTTCCATACTTCGATGTCCTCCCTGAATTGAAAGATATGCTCTTCATAGGATTTTACACATTGAAACCTATAATTATTATTTTAATGGCACAATATGTGGGGCAGGTTAATTATGAATAATTTTCAATTTTAGTCCATTAAACTGTCTACTAGTATAGAATTATAAACCTAGCCTTAATTATGCATTTGAGGAACCTAGAAATCCCATTAAAATGATTTTTTAAGCATATGAACCGTTCAGGAGAAGTTAATGTGGTTGAAGCTTTATGAATGAGATTGATATGATCATGCAAACCTCCGATTTAATAAAATAGTCTTTAAATAATTGATTAGACCTTCTAAAAAGGTAGAATTATGTGAGTTTGAATGCCCAAGACCTTTGTTTGAGAAAGTAGATGATTAATGTGTTGTCATATTTCGAGGATGAATGATCCCAAGGGAAAAGGATGTAACACACTGGGTGTTTAAGATTGTCTGTCGTCCCATGTTGAAGTGTTACGAGTAACGACCTAAATATGAGAGTTTTATTATAATATCACTTTTGT